GGGGGAACAGGAGGATTACCAGAACTTGTACTGTTTGGACATCTGGTCATCTGGATGAAATGAATAGCATTTGCCGTCTGGGGCTAGATCTGACATGGCATCGGTCGTGTGCCTCAAGAGTCCATTCCTAAATTTGTGTTGGCGTTCCTCGGGGAGTCCCCGTGGGTGTGCGAATCAGACGTCTCTTTTTACCGTTTCCGCCAATGCAAATCTCTTGTAAGCCATGTCGACACGGGGAACTTGCTGTCAGTGAAGGTGGCGTAGGTGTCCAAAAGGGCAGAACTCATGCAGGCATCAACACTTGGACTATCGGTTCTATGCAACCCGTGCATGTCGAGAGTATCAAATTGCAATGCTTGTCTGAAAATGAACTCAGAGTGACATCGAAACGCTCGTGTAGCTTCTGAATCACGGTAAAAAGGTCTGCAAACTTGAAGCGGGTATAAATGGATATTTGTGTCCTCTCATCTCCTCATACTTGTTCAATCAACTCCTGTGGTTTCAAATAAGATCAAATCGGTTATGGGACGAAAGTTGAGGTATTTTTTTATGACATCATTCCACCCCCTTTATTCTCCTCTCCTGTCGTTCCCCACCCCATGAAAAAGTCATTTAAAGAAGAGCAGAAGTAGAACAAGGTAATAATAAGACGGCGATACACGGAGAGATCAGCCATGGTCACCAAAAGGAGGGACAGAGTTGGGTTACAAGAGACGCAGAGGTTAAAACAGCTTGTCCTATGTACACATGTCTTCACTCTTCCCCTCTTCCACCCCCACCCCACAATCTTCACACAAAACTCGCTTCCCGAATCGCCTGATAGGTGTAACGTGTCGGTCGATCCCTTTCCATAGCATCAGCCTCCACTGCAGTGTTTGCCTGGAGTTGGGAGTAAGATCGTGTGGTGGTACTACTTCCACCCGCCAGCATTCCACCTCTCTTTCCGCCCATTGGTCCGCTTGCTTCATCGTTTTCGCCTGCCTCAGATTCTTCTTCTGTCATGGCACCAAGACGACCTAATGTAGCACTTCGTTGACGCGTTCGACCGTTACCGCTAGACGAAACCTCGTAATGATTATTTCGACGCTGTGTATTGATGCAAGGCGGATCGATGAGGCATCCATAGCTCGCAGAGGAGGAGGAGACGGATTTGTTGATTGGACGACTGGTACGTGGCGAACCCACGAACATGTCAACACCATGTTGGGGACCTGCATGCCATATTGGACGTCCGGCAAGCTGATCAAGACTTTGATAGTCGGGAGAGGGAGGGGTTATGTTGGTTGGATGACCTCTTCCAGTTCTCGGTTGAAAGCCAGGTCTAGCTACGAGCGTGCTGGTGGCAGTCTGACCGTCGGAAATGATTGTTGATACAACCGGTAGGGTTCCATAGACACGAGGTGGATGTCCAGTAAAAACTACAGGAACAGGCATTCCTCCGCTACTACCGCCGCCACTTTCAGCAGTAGAATATTCAACTGGATGTCGAATCCCTCTTGGAGCCATTGCATCGAGTGCCAACACTCCAAGCCCCTGAAATTGCAACAAAGGAGGTAAAAAGATGCCTTATTGTGGATGTGAAGGAGTCTATTTGCTTACGTCATAGTAGAGAGGCTTCTTCTCCTCCTCCAATGTGTTTGTGATGGAATCGGTAGATATCATCCCTGTAAAAGCAGAAGGATAGTGAATATGAATGGAATGCAGTGTACAAATGCTCAGATACACTGAATGTCACCTTTAGCCACGGAGGATTCAATGCTTTGACCGTCGGAGAATCGTGGATCGTTTAGAACTTCTTGGGTTTGCGCCGGTACGTAGCGCTGTGCATTTCTTTTTGCGTTGGTACTTTTCTGGTGTCGGAAAAACGACCACTGACAGTTCCAAAGTGGAGTACAGGTGTAGTCGAGTCTCTCTTGATGCTGTTGATTTTGATGATTCGGTCTCTGCTGACCGTTAACAAGAGGTCGGCGTCTGAGTAGACAGACAAGGACAACAGCAGCCAGAAGGAGGACTCCGAATACAACCACCAAACAAGCTGCAATAACCTCAACACGATGTGGTGGATTCTGGTCATAGAAACCGTCGTAAAAACCGTCCAGATTACTAAAACGATGGTCCGAACCGGTGACATCACCGCGATCAAGAGTGCGACCTCCGATACTACCTCCAACGTTGATAGCTCCTCCGCCGCCGCCGCCACCACCACCACCACCACCAACCACGTTGCCACCACTACCAACACTGCCACCGACGAGTTTTGCATCCTCAGAAACGGCTATTTGAATGGCAGGTGAAGAGGTACACTTTGGTTGGACGCCGTGGTCACAGGCTTCGATGACAAGACGATGATTCACGGGCCCTTGAATGGGTCTTCAAGCGGGAAATACATTATTTGAAATCATGAACCATTTGTCAATGCAAACGTGGTCTTTAATGCGTTTACCGTCGGCGTTACGAATAATGTGACGTCCATATATTTTGCTTGTAGGGATTCACAGGACATCAAAAGAAGGAAGTGGAAGTAAAAGGGAACAATCGGACTATAACGATGGTAACAAGCGAAAGGCAGCGACATGAGTTCATCGATGTAAATTGATCGCCTCCATCTGGAAGCCATTACATCGCCTCGCCTCGTTGTTATTAGGGGAAGGAAGGAGAGGTAACTTGTCATCTCCCTACAAATGTCAGATGTGAAGCGATAGTTGATAAGGCTCCTCCAATCGGGCAGGTGACATTGCCCATCAAGTCATTCGAGCCCAAGCCCTGCACATCCTCTCATCTCATTAATCTATTTATTATCCCTTTCCCTCCCTTCACTCGTCATATGCCCATGCCTTAGTCACATCATGCTGGGAGGACACCATCGGTCCTGGAGGAGGAAAACAATTTATGCCTGTCTCTGACGCTTTCCTTGCAATTTGATTATTTAAAGCAGTGCGCTGAATCTGTCCAAAACTCCTGGCGACATGATTTAGTGCTTCAGAAAACGCCCAGCCTCATTCAGAAAGTGCCGAGGTGCTGTCTCTTTACTGAGACATCAAATAAACCCTGTGCTACTCATTTTTGTGCTTTTTAAGAAGAAGGAGGCAAAATTTGGTGCCTGAAGGAATTCAGGAAAATGTTGTGGCCCTTGAAGAAGTCTTGCATCTACCTGAGTTGGCTAGTCCAGATTGTCGGCCATCCATTCCCCTTCCCCCTCCTGCCCCGACAAATCGCCTTTTCCATTTGCTTCAATTCTACAATGTCAGGTAGTATTTTGTGGGTGTACTTTTATTGATTCGTCTTGCCCTTTTCCACTCCACCTTTTCTCCCCTTTCTCCTCCCCTCCAATGCCTTCTACGAGCAAGTTTCTGTATTTTACTTGCTAACACGTTCTTCCAACACGACACCTACAGGTTGCCCCTTTGTCACAGAGGTGCTAAGTGATTCTTCCTTCTGCCCATCTTATTGGAATTGATCTGGGAAGTTTATTTATCTCATCAGCTTGGAATAGGCTTCGTGTCATAAAAAATGGGGAATCAAATGGAATGTTGTTGTGATTGCATGATCAGGGGACTTCTCCTCCCCCTCCCTCCTACAAAATGGGGAAAAATCTTGGGGAGAAACAGATTGTCGAATCTGGCTACTTCTTCTGGAGACTTAGTAAATCGAACCAGCTGAAACAAGGATCCGTTGCTGCTCTGAAGAAAAAAGGACTCCGTTGTTGCGCTGTAAACAACCCATTTTGTGAAAAAATGCATTCTTTTGAGGGAAAAGTTGCCCATTCAGACTGCAAGGAGGCTACAGTCAGCAAAAGGAGATTATTCGTTTCCATAAATCAGTTGGATGTCTCCAAGGCAATCGAAGCGGTCAAATGGGTTATGCGAGACTTATTACTCCCATGAGTCATTTCTAAACTCCTCCCTCGCGCCACACCATCAAGGGAGGCGAATCCGCTGACCCCTTTATTCCACTTCCGAAGTCGCAACCATTGCACCATCTAAAGGAAACTTTCAACACTTCCTTGTGGTAGACGATCAAAGCAGCTGTCTTAGTTTGATGCACTTCGGTGATTACTTCCGAAGATCCAGGCGCCGTGCTTATGCTCCACTCTTACGATATCTCAAATGTCTCGGACGCTACTTACAATGCCATAAGTAGTATCTCCCCCATACAGTTATACTGTCCTTGTGTCACGTGGCTGAAAAGTTTCCACGGGTCCCTCTCCTGTCATCGCTGCGTGAAAATATTCGTTTCTTCAAAATACGTAGTGTTATTTATCCACCTTCCATCATAGTGATTTGGTCGGCAAAATGCCAATTGTTCATCCACCTCAATGCGTTTTTTGAAATGAGTATAGCAAGTATGGAAATTTCTGTTTGTTACGCATCCTGCATAAGCATCTACTATATACCATAAAATGAATTGAAGAAACGTTAAGTAATAGGAGGTTTGAGTTAGATCGAATGAAGTCAAATCTTCTGATACATTCAAGGTTGGCATTCAACCTGAAGGCGACCATAATTGACCTTCTTACTGGGCGGAAGGCCCAAGCCTCCCATCTCACATCCTAAGCTGAGCGGTGGGAGAATGTTGCCACCTTGCTGCTTTGATGATAATCCTTAATCTCCACTAGACAATCAACAGTTTATAGAACAGTTGGGAAGAAGGAACAAAATTTAGACTAAATTGGTTTCTATCAATTTCCCATCTTCTAGCTCCAAATTATCTCTTTTTTTTACCCAAAAGGCACTTCCTTAAGGACGCACTTTAAACAGCTATTTCTCCAAGAGAATAAAAATATTTTTAAATGTGAGATTCAATGTGATGGAAAAAAATGAAAATGACGCATCAACGATTAGGTCGGATTAGCCTGGAGGAGAGAGAGAAGGAGGAGGGGAGAGGTATGACCTAATCCATCTGCTTAAGCGAGATTAGGCGGGGCTTTTCTTTTTTGTCGTCAATACTTATGGCAATGGGTAATGCCAATCCACTTTTACTTTCCTTACCTTGTGAGAAAGATGAGTCCACTTGTTTCGTCAATCGCAAAGTTACCGGTTCCAGGTCCATCCTGTGGAATGGGAATCTCGGAGCGAATGCTGTACGAGATGCGTGCATTTTCCCCGTAGTCAGCATCAGAAGCCTGCACGGTGAGAATTTTGTGGCCCAGAGTCTCACCTGGTGCCATGTGGAGGAGAATTGAGGTGTTGGGATAACGAAATTCGGGTGCATTGTCGTTGACATCTGTCAGCGTTACTACGACTGTTGCGGTTGCTGTAAACACTTCACCACTCTTGAAGCCTCGCCTAGTTAATTGTGATGATTGAGATGATGGAATCGCCTGAGAAGATGATCCAGCCAATGAAGAATCAATTGCTAAGACTTCAAAGGTAAAGTAACCGTTCGATTCACGATCGAGCTTTCGAATGACTCTAATCTCTCCGGTTCGACTGTCGATGGAAAAGTAGGAAAGTGGTCTTTCATCCTTCACCTTTGAAGGCTCTAAGTGCGGCATGAATAAAGGCTGTTGTTGTTGCAGCATGGAGTCACGTTTCCTACGTTCTGTTGTCTCATTTTTCAGGGACCGTTGAACCAATCCAGCACGAGGTGGATTCAAGTGATACGTAATGGAATTGGCTCCAGCAGTTGCGTCCCTATCAACAGCCTCCACAACGCCGACAACCTCTCGAAGTTCAAGGTCTTCCGGCACCTCGAAAGTGTAGATGTCTCGAGTAAATTCTGGAGGCCAGTCATTCACATCCAACACGATCACATCAACACGAGCAGTACCGGTGAGCTGTCGAGGCTTTCCATGATCCATAGCGAGGACATTGAAGCTGTAGATACCATTCTCAGGTGCATTTTCTCGATCCAAACTGACTTGCGCGTAGATGTCGCCAGTGTCTGGTTGAACACGAAAAAGTTGCTGTGGACTCGATCCAAATTGCCCATCGAGATGTGCGTTTCGATCAGGAGCCAGGTGGTAGGAGATTCTGGCATTTTCGCCCAGGTCTGGGTCCACAGCCTGAACTCGACCCAGCCAAACTTGTTGGTTTCCTACAGGCTCACGGTTCTCGGCAAGAGAGAAGTTGAAGTAGCTGTCGTTGAGGAAACGCGGAGGATTATCGTTGATATCAAGAAGGTGCAAACGAATTCGTATCTCTGCATGATTGCCATTTCGATCCTCACATATTATGGTGAGCAACTGGCTGGGTGTGGTCTCACGATCCAAACGATCCTGAAGACTAGATGTCTCGCGTGTCGACTGATCACTCCCTGAGGGAACCTTGGCTAAAACCCGATACTCACTGATCCTCTTACTCGGTCGCTCGCTCAGAGAAGTCGTCTCAAATCCAAAGTGATCCACCTTACCACCAGAGGAAGAGGAGTCGGCTTGAAGCGTAAAATTGTCACGTGGTCCCAGATGGCATTCAACTTGATCTTCACCATTTTCGTCCTTATCTGACACCTGAAATGCAACCATTCGTGTGACCTTGAAGTGACCAATCGCTGAGGGAGGGAGATAACAATGCAACCATGACAACGGAAGGAAAAAATGACTAATGGACAAATTTCTATGGTTTGGGGGAGGGAGGATGGAAGGTGAGTGAATGAGAGGAGCATAATGTAACAAAGCGAAAGGGTTCACATAAGTCGTCCTGAAGAAGCAGCATCAGTTGAATGAACATGCGTTGAAAATGGGAATAGGAAAACAAAAACAAAATCTAAGCGCAGCGTGGAGACAAAGAAGAAGTTTCTAAGATAAAAAAATGGAAACAGTTTGTTTTCTCGCTGACAGCTGAAGGAATTTTAAAATTTTGTAGATGAAAGAAACTCTTCCTGTGATTCAATGAGGCAGAACGTGAAAGGGAACAACGAGGTGAGGCAGCAAATCTCCGTCTCCTCTTCAAGTAGAGAGGTAGGAGAGAGTACTGCCAATTTTTGGAGACATCCTCTGGTTACTGCCAATTGGATAGAACGAGACGGGTGGCAACTCTCGCATACAACAGACATGGCGGTGAGCAGAAATTAAACAATATCTCCATTGGAGTGAAGGAAGTGGAAGAGAAACGAAGGATGGAGACTGTGATCCACTACAATCGTTAATGACAGCAGCACCAAGCCCTGAAGCATCTGTAGTCCTTTGAAATGTGATACAAAGGAAATGCGTGCAAGGGAAAGAGGAATTAGAGAAGGAAACTACCGGGCATGGAACTAAGTGCCTCCTACATCTGTCATTTGCGAATCACTGACTCATCAAGTGAAATCCGATCCTATCTCAAAAGCAGTTTACCAACAGAGGGAGAACTTTTTCCTTCTCTCCTCCTCTTGGTCCTTCCATTTCTCTTCTCCCCTTTCGCTCAAAATCTCCTCTTTAGCCACAGCAAGCAAGCCTTGAAAAAAGAGGAGGAACAGAAGAGGAAGAGAAAGAAAGGATAATATGGGCACCCGCCTTCCACCATCACCGGTGCAGCAATGATTCAGCGTTCTGTAGGATTTCAGTGTTTCTTTTAGCCTGTGTATGTGTGCATGGGTGTGCATGTTTTTCCACTCCTTCAACAAGATTGTTGAGGATGTCAGACGGGTGCTCCGCATGCGCACGATTACCCTCGCTGTGAAAAGTGCCTCACTTGCAATTCACTTTCCACTTTTCTACCAATCATCACCTCAAGGAGGAGGAAATGGAAATTGCAGACACGTACAGGGGTAGCGTAGCTGTCCTGAATCATTAGCCCTCGCCTTTTTTAGCTCAACAAGACTCTCTCTTCTCCTTGGGACGCTGGTTTATGATGTGCCAAACGTCACAGTGCAGATTCTAACACTTTTATGCTTGTAATCAAAGAAGATTTTGCATGGCTCGTATTACACAACCATCTCCTTCTGACACGTCGGTTGTTCTGATTCCCATTCAAGCCTTTTGGAATTGGCGTCAGTCAAATTCCGACTGCTGTGAGCGAATCATCTGTTCGCCTCTCTACTGTTCGTTTGCATGTCAGAACGATTAACAAACAGCTTCACTGACGGAGACAGGGGAAGATGAGAAACTAGCCTCAACCACAGGTCGTCAAAAGGTAAACAAAGGAGAGTTGAAAGTTTCACGGCGATTGTAAACATCTGTTTGGATTTGATGTTAACCAAATCGTCGGACTACTTAACTAACACCTATCATTAGCACACCAGCACGACTACTTAAATGAGTTACAGGCGACATTAGTCTCATTGGCAGGCCTCCACCGCCGACTGATTCTTCTCAACAGTCTAAGATTTAATAAGCAGTGATCGGAGGTGAAGTTATTTCTGCCTGCCATGAAACCCGCATAAAGCAATCAATCGCCTCTTGTCTCCAAGTCGTTTGACCTTCCTGGCAGTCTGTGTAAGCGCCAAAAGTGGAAAAACTCTACCACAAGCAGTCAGGAATCACAGCAGAACATCCACACACACACACGATGGAGGGAGGCGAGGGCGGAGGGTAAAGCCAGAGGGAGGGGGAATGTAGAATGGAATGGGGATTTTCATCCTTTCACGAACGCATGCAAAAAAACCATCGGTTTGTGTGTGTCTACCGCCGCTTCTGTAGCCTCGGGTAAAAAAAATTCCACCGCCTATGTTCACATCCACCAATCCTCCTCCTCCTCCTCCTCCTCCTCTCTCCTCCACCCACCACCATTCCTCTTTCACCATTTCATCAGTGAGCAGAAGCGGGCAAAGGTGTTGCCTTTGACACAGCTCCTGTGAGGAAAAATTTTCAACACCTGGTTGACAGCTTTTTTAAAGCGGAGAAAAAACAATCTCCATGCGTGCATTTTGGTGGGAGACGTTCAAGTCAAAATAGAATTCTCAAATCAAACTGTTATGATACGCCATTGCTCGCAAATACCCCATCCACCTCTACCACCAACAGCCCTCCGGTCGGGAGAACATAGACGCCTAAGCTGCATCTGGACGGTGTTGGAAGGTGTCAGGCAAAAAATATCGGTGTTACACGTCGAGATTATTTGCTAATTTATGCCTAGATGAATCAACAGGACCTTTTCTATCAAACCCCCAACCACTTAATTGTAATTCAGGTATGTAAAGTCTCGGCTTGACCTGAATGGGCGCGCCTCAACCTAATTAACAGTCTCACACAGACTACCTTGTGATGATAGGAAGGGAAGGTGAGGAGAGAGGAATCAGAACATCTAGGAATTAACAGATGGAGAACGAGGAGGAGGTGGTGGTGGTGGTGGTGGAGAGATAGACGGGTAGGAGGAAGCCTAGAGAGCAGTTGGCTACGACCGTGAGCTTCTTTGGATGGAGCAATTAACCTTCCCCCCCCCCCCACCCAAGTTCCTTCCCATCTGCCATCTCGGCGGTGAATTAGGAGGAAACACCTGCTCTCCTGCGGTAAGCCAACCGCAAATTGGATAAAAATAAGACGTAGATTTCGTTTGGGAAAGATAAATAGCTCCGTGATCGACATTCACATATCTGCAGACCTGAGGTTGTCTCATCAATTTCCAACTTTAATCCTCATCACACATGGTTTTACACTCCTACGTCAGGTGGCCACTCAGTCGCTTTGTACTCCGGCAGGGTTTTGCGATCTAAGTGTCCCTTAACTTGAATGAAGAATGCCTCAAAGTTGTTTTTTTATGTATTTCTCTCCCATCACTTCACGGTTGTCTGTCGATCGTGAAGTCGTTTCCTGAGGCCTTTCAGAGTCCAGTCCATATGACTTGTCTCACCTGTACGTAGGCAATGACGATGTCCGGCAACGGTGATTCCTCAATATACGCGACCAGTTCTTGATGCTTCGAGCCAGGTGGAACAATTGGCGTGATACCGCCATTCATGTTGATGCTGGAGATGCCATTCACATTGCCGTTTTGAGCGATGAGAATTTCAATGTTTGGTGGTTCGTCGTTATAGTCGGTCAATTCAATGTCCACCAGTGCGGTGCCTGTTAGACGATAGGGTTCAGGAGCCCCATCCACGGCAAGCACCTGAAAGCGATTCAAACAAAATGCTGATCATTTTGCCCTCCAAAAGAACCACAACAAATCATTTGAGATGCTTCTTTGTAAAAAGAAATACATTTAATAGCGCTTGAATGTCAGGCATTAATAATGCCTTAAATAGAAGGCGATCGCATCAATTGGGATAGGAGATGAAGCTGATGGCAAAAACTCCAGCCAGAGGGCATATCTTTACCGTGATTAGAGCTGTCATTGCCATGTGAGGCTGCTTCAAACATCTTGTCAGCCCGTTGGATTAATTTTCAACATTGAAGGCTAGTTGAATAAGACAGACGCAGATCGAACTGCTCTGCTGCTATTCCGTCCCGATTTCATCCCACACGTCTCGGAGCCGTGAAGGCCCAAATCCAGTGATACATCTAAAACGTAGTTGTTTACTCCTCCTTGCCGAAGAACACAAGATTTTATGCATGCGAAGGCTTAACAGCGAATCCAAGGCTAGGGGATGAGGGGTCAACGATCAGTCTGTCTCTGGTCCTTTATTCCCATGTCAGTGCTTCTATAAAACCACAATTTGCTCACCGTACTTCACTCAACTCCTCGGTATTAGTCTTTGCACGATCACATGTTTACGAGCAAAAGAGAAAGGACAGTTCAAAGATAAAAGTGAGATATGGAACGAAGTAGCTTTAGCCAGAGGTTCTTTATTCTGGCTTTCCTCTTGCCATTACTTATTGTCTTGTGGAGGCAAAAACGATCAATAGGAGGGGATCGCATAGTCCCACTGCGAATGGAGGCAATGCAACCTTTATAATGCTGTTGAAGAAAATTAAAAAGGACTATTTGGTTTATGAGGAACCGTAGCCACAAAAGGGGCCAAGCAGAAGGAAATCGTTACCATAAGGGTGGAGGAGGAGGAGGGAGGAGGAGGAGAGGCCTCGGTGCTCGACTTTGATAGGGGAGAAGATGACGTACACCCACACAAACACACACACACATGGCATTCCCCACTCCCCACTTGAGGGCCAATCAATTTAAACCTCCCATCCCTCCACCTCCTGTCCCACTCATCTAGATCTGATTTGCTCCTAAAGGCAAAAAGGTAAACACAGATTGGAGAAGCGAGGAAAATAAACTGCAATTGCTGACCGACTTATGGCCTCATATTACGAGATTGATGGCTTCTTCCCTCGCCTCTTTCACAGAAGACTGTTTATTTCACCAGGGAGAAAACCTGTTTCCAAATCCCAATCCATGAAAGAAGTCAAAACTTCCTCTCCCTCGTCCCCTTCCTCATGTCTCGAGAAACTAACTGGTTAGCTGAATGATAAAACGCGCTCACCATTCTCCACTCAGCCATCCTCAAATATCCCAAATTTGGGAATTAAAGTGGACTTTCAACCTCTCGCTCTCTCCTTCGGGCAGTTGCATTTGAGAAATTGGTAATCGCAAGGTCTCTGTGTGTGGCGTTAATCTCCAAATTGATTTGTCCACCTCTTGAGGACAAAAAAGCTCCATGCAGCAGCTGTTTCGAGGAGGGGAGAAAAATGAGAAGGGAGACAGGAAAGGGGGGGTAGAGAAGAGGAGGGGGAAGGAGAGGGACGGAGGGGGAGAGCAGCGCTAACAAAGCCTTAGATGACCTATTATAGTCCACCACACGTGAATCGTCCTTTAATGATGGTAGAAGGTGGTAACACTTACCGCCTCCCTCCGCCTAATCTCGAGTGCGGCAACAGCACCTGATATGGCAAACAGAAGTGGCATTTAAGAAGTTGGCCAGCCATCCCAGTTGGCGCCATTTCTGGGAGCATATATGACGCATACATACACATGTGAGAGGGACAAAATTTGCCCTCCTTTTTTCTCCATCCTTTTATCACCCCTTCCCTCCATCCTCAGCCGCCTGCGCCCTCCGCTGGGAGGTGCTGGCGTACATGGCCCGGGAGAGGGCGAATGAAAAGTTCGTCAACTGTTTGATGTTGCAGAGAATTTTCAGTTGGTGACTTTGCCTCTCCTCCTTTAAAATACATTTTGAAGCAATCATTTATCTTGCAAAACGTGTCACGTACGTGTTTTACTGTTAGCTATCAGGCTAAAAGTGAAGGATAACCTACAATGCTAATGAAAAGAGCAACCATAAAGCACTCTTTGGGCGATGCACTAGAATGCGCAATAGAGAACACTCCTTTTGTATAATTCTTTTACTATTCGGCGATCTTACAGGTGCTTTCCCTACAAGCAACAGCCGGTCGTTCAGGTCTGACAGATTCTGCCATACACACCAGTCGTTCTCCTCTACCCCTTTTAAATAATCACCAAAACCTGTTACCTCTCTGACCAGGGATAAAAGCTAACCACATTGCATCTTGGCTTCTTGACATAAAGTGGCATTGTCATTTCAGACATTAAGACAGCACGTCAATCGGGGGAAAAAAAGCAAAACATACTTCAAGAAAGGCTTGACAAAACCATATGCAAAGTGAAGGAGAGCCAAGATGTTATGCCTATTTGATTGCCGATTACTTGGCGTACTGATCACTCCAAATCTCCGAGGTTTTTCCACTTTCATGAAACCAGACATTCACTTGTTTCGGCTCCTTTGTTTTTGTCCCCAGTATGTCATAAAATATAGCCCGTTTGGAGGCTGCTGTCGTCATGGTGACAAGGTGGTTAATTGGGACATACATCACCAAGGTGATTAGCTTCAGAAATCAGTAATGTTTTGAAAAGTGTCCTCAAGGTGTCCTATCGGCACTTTCATGCCCGAAGAAAAGCGTTAGATAACGGACTCGCATAGGGTTCATTTCACTTTTCACGGCATAAGGACAAGTGACAATCGAGGATGAGATTGGCAGCTATCGATTGGCATTTGTATAGACCAAACATTTAGATATGCTTTCAAAGCAGTCTGAATGAGCTCTGCCTACACGATGGTAGAGAATAAAGTAGCTTAAAGATTTGACATCACAAATCAGAGAAGGTAACCGACCGCACAAACGTAACAATGAGGGAGAAAAATCGATAAGGCAGCACATATGCTGAAACCCAAATGCTGTCCCTCTGTCCGGCCTTCCGCGCATCCATCCAGCCATCTGGACAAGAAGAAAATATGGTCGTCTGACCAGTTGAGTCATCAGTGTGGCATATAAAACCACATCAGATGCACATACACACACACACACAGGTGGGCCAAAATCGAGAATTTTCCCATTAACAAACTTGCTCCTCTGTTCTTACCTTTATTGAAGTGGACCGGCCAACCTATCTACCATTCCCAACTAGACTGATTTTAACCAAACGGCCTGTTAACAGCTCTTCTCCTATCTGACGGCGAATCTAGCTCCTTCTTCATCTCTCCCCTTCGCGATTTTACGCACTTCCACGGAAGAGGGTGATAACATCGTTCGGGAATTTGATGTGCGAACGGAGTTGGGAATGGAATACCCTACTTACTACTCACACTACCTCTTATCGCGTTCCCTACACACACTTTGCTCTCTCAAGGGGTGTATGAGTATGTGTGTGGGTGTCAGAAAAGCTATTTGAGTGCTTCTGCTTGCCCCTATCCAGTGGGTATATCTGATGTCTCCTGCACTTTTGTTCTGCGGGAGCGAGTGCGCAAAAAAAAACGAGACGCTTTTCACACTCACCCTCTCTTCTCGTGTGGTCTGTTGGTGAGATGTGGAGTTGGTGATCAATAGGTTGACAGAAGAGAACAGGAAAACGTATTTATCGGGGAGAGGGGAGGTGAACGGGAGAGAGACAAGCAACATTAAACCGGATGGGCGTTTATGGCGCAGGAGGGAACAGGAAATGATCACCATTCCGTCTACTGCATTCAACACTTACCCTGTCAACAAAGTCAACTCACACACAAAACAACTTTACTTCCATCTGTTAATTCCGTCACTTGTGACAGGTAGACCTCGTCAAAGTGTAGCAAAAAGAAACCATATTTCGACATCCGGAGAATCAACGTTTTGTCGTAATTCAGTCGATTCATTGATTAAGATAGAAGTTCCAATTTTCTTATAACATCTCCAATTAAATAAGGTGTTTGTGCATGTTTTAAAATAAACAAATTAATGACACACGAAGCTGGGAAAAATCGATAAGTTTCGGTGGGTACGAAAACTCATAAATCGATTCATATGCGCCGTTATGTGACATTTTAAGGTATTTTGCCCACTCTTCTTGATTGAGGAACAAAACGTTTTGTGCAGAACCCATGTTCATTGATTCGTAACACGAAGAAACATTAAAAAATGACAAACAGGGTAATAAATTACCGTTGCCATTAGTGACGTTAGTAATTTACGGAATCTATTGGTACAACAGAAGTGGTCTGTCTGACTACTTCATTTTAAACTTCTCTAGATCCATTAATTCTTGCCACTTCTCCCATTCTTGGTCATCATTCTTAAGTAATTTTACCGCACATGACACTTGAACCTAATAAATTCATGATTTAATAAAAATACTATCTACGCACAAGTCAAATAACTAAACGGCCTTTGAACAGGGAATATCAATAAATGTCCACCCCCAGCTTGAGTAAAAATTGTCATTTTATCAATAAGAGCGATTTGCCTTTTTCTTCAGTACTTTAGTTATGTGCATTTGGCGTGCAAGGGATGCGAAGTCAGCCAGTGGGCCAATAAATGGAAGTATCAGAAGGGGTGGGAGCAAACATTTTCCTCCCTGCCCACCATCCCCCTATCATCATTTCTCCGCAGCTAAGTGGACATGCCATGGAGCGAATTGGATACTTGTCTCTATCGCCGGCCAGAGAACCTGCCATCCCAGTTAGGTTGATATCGGTCTCTACAGCTCACAGTCCCCATCCCACCCCCAGCCGCCCCCAAACCACACAACACTTGTTGGAACACGTCAACCCTAATCACGTGATCCACTTTTGTGAATAGGTAGGAAAAAAGGGTGCGTACTTTAAAGGTGAATCGACGCGGCCCAGAATCGTAGTCTAGCCTCTGTTTCACCGTAAGATAGCCAGAGATAGGGTCCAAGGCAAAGTAAGGCTGAACGAAGGTCACGTCACTAGGGAAGATGGAGTAGGTAATGCGGGCGTTGTCTCCCGTGTCTTCATCAGTAGCATTGAGCTGAAGGACAACACTGCCAATTCTCGCCGTCTCCATCAAATGGCCCCGTTCAGGAACGTACTTCACCAACTCTCCTTGCTTGCTTTCTCGTGGATAGGATGCCACATGACCGGGGACGTAGCTATGGAACACGGGGGCGTGATCATTGACGTCCGTGATATAGACGTGGAGAGGAATGCTGCTGGATAGTTGCGGGTTGCCTGAGTCGTAGGCAAAAAGGGTAAGATTATAGAACTCGAAGACCTCCCTATCCAGAGGAACGACTGGTTTTATTCGCAAAGGACTGCTAACATCCGAATGCTCAAATCGGCCGCCGTCCTGATCCGCGTACTCCAACCGGAACATATCAGCTCCAGTACCCTTGAGATTATAGGAAACGGTCCCATTTGGTCCACAGTCGGGATCGATTGCACGGTCCAGGAGTTGAGACTGCGCAATCATCTCCTGTTTCCCGTACGTTGCAAGAGGCTGAAAGGCCTCGACAAATTTAACTGTCAACAATCGTTTTCCAGGCCATCGGGGGGCGTTGTCATTGATGTCAAGTATTCTCAACATTATCTTTTCCCGCATACTACTCCCCGAGGCTCCACCGATTCCATGGGACTTGATCAAAACATTAAGAGGTTTTAAACAGTTGGAATCAGTGGCTAAATCGTTTCTTGGATCCACTTCACTGCTACATAGGATTTCACGATCAATTCGACCCAAGGTTCGCAGATCTCCTGACTTCTCATTGATCACAAAACTCTTCGTCAACGTGTCTGTCCCCATGAGTTGGAAAGTGGTAGAGTTGGGCATCTCTACTCGGAGGAGAACTATCCTCTTGAGGTAATCTGCCACGCCTGAAATCATACTTCCAGGGGGGCTTTCCTCCACAACATCAAAGGTTGAGGCAAAGGGCGAAGGGAAGGCAATAGAAGCTTGACAGTGAAGGAGGCATAAAAGAAGTAGAAGACAACTCGGCAACATGTTTGTGGTCATTTTTCGTGTGATGTGGGACGGGCACAAACACCAACGCACTGACTTAACGACCTTGGGAAATGGGTTACACGCTCACACGCACGCGTGCACACACAAACGTTGCTGGGGCAACGCGTCCAATTGGTGCGCGAGATAGGTGACATTAGCCAATCGCTGGCCAGAAGAGACTGGTAATTTGGTGTTTTGATTGGTGGAGGAAATTGATGCCTGTATGACTAGGATTTGGACAAAAATAATTCATCAAAATGATTTTTATTAAAAGATTCAATTTTCTTACGCTAATCACTGTGCTGGTCTCTTTATGTCTCTAAGTTATCTTGACTAAGACCAGCTTGCGTCTCTTAACACCTAAAGTTAACACAATGGTACTTTGTTAATTGAAATCCGAAATTATGGGCTTAATAAGTGTTATCGGGATGCTTGAAGACTATTATTTGTTCAGTACATGGCACTCCACCAGCATCGGATCCTGACAACACAAATTCATGACACAGAAGCAGCCGGATCAACTTTATTGCTGATCCTATCGCTACCAAATGTACCATTAAAAGAGATCAGGGTCGTTGAGTTGTTCTTATGACCTCTAAGAATAAGTAACTTGTTAAGCTTTTATTGCACGGATTGGAAGACATGTTATTCCGCAAAGTGATCACGAGGAGTTAAGCATTCATCAGTAAAATGAGATTGGCAAATGAAAGATAACCTCGTAAAGAAGACAAAACTCTTGGTATTTACCATTCACCGTTGGGATGGGGAAGCGAAAAGTGGGGCTGCTGGGGGGGATGGAGAGAAGGAGGAGAAAAAAGAGGCTCGAAAACTTGACATTTAGACTTGATGGGAATAAATGCATTGCCATTTTTGTATCCCTAAGGCAGTGGAAAGAGGTTTCTAGGGTATAACGTTTGCTTTAACTTTTTTCCTTTCCTTCATCCCTCCCACCTTCCTTCCTTCCCCCTCCCTCCTTTCTGTTTTTTTTTGTTTTGGTTGCCAGCATCAACCAGTATCAATGGTTGATTTTTTACAACCATTTATCACTGGCGTTACTCAGGCCGATTAGAGCAGTCCTTCTGCTCTCTCCTCTTCCATTTTCTTCATTACTTTTGAAACATTCGTCTAATTGTGTCTTGGAGATAAAGGTTTAAAGATTGCGTTGCTTTAGCAACTAACACTCCAAAAGCTGGATAACATAGTTCCGTAACTAAGACCTCTGCAACTCTACAATCAATAATAGTCACCACGGTTACAAAGCCCCCTTTTTTCAGGTCAATTGTTAGCTTATCTCCCTTCTGGGTCGCACCAACCTCCGTGTTGTCTGATTTCGAGGCAAGAAATAACATCCCTCGGTGGCTCACACATCCATTTCTTGTCCACTTTTTGCCTTGAGTGTCCTCTTTCAGTTTCCAAGGCGTGTATCGATTCTCCTTCAACACCCTCCCCCCACAGCTGATCAAGTCATGCCACTAGGTTGGTGATATTGTCAGCTAATCAATTCCTTTTGGCAAGTTTTCATGTCATTTGGTCTTGAAGTCACTGACCAGCAAATGTGTTTCCAAGGTAGAGTAAGGCAAGCAAATCCAACTGCCATTGACCAATTGGGTATTTATTAGGCGAAGGAAAATCAAATCGATTTCTTCATTTATGCATTTTTGAAACAAATGTTTGGCTCACCGAGCCACTTATGTGGAACTTTATGATGGTTAATTCATGATAATGAAAAAAGAAGGGTAAAAAGTGTTGCGCCTCTTGAGATTGAATTAGTCTTGGAGATCTTTGTCCTCCTTCTGGGTCATTTGTCATGTAGTGACCCACCAATGGAATGGGATGAAGTCGTCCTTTGATGTTTGGTCGAATGCGGTCATGTTCATTGCGGCAAGTAACAAGGTGTTAAACATACTCGCCCCACCCCATTCGTCCCCGTATGCTCCCAACAGCGTGGAGGCTACCTATTGATATCAAAGGTTCGACTAGCTTTTCTTAAAAAAAAGATCTCCAAATGTGTTTTCAACCAGTTTTCACCGACGTGTTCTGGTATAAAATGAAACGTGTTTGGTACTAAGTCTATGTGAAATTTTAATGACCGATGTTCATTGCGATTTCAAGCTCGAAGCACCTGATAAATGCGGTGGATAGGCGTCATCTCAAAACGACTGTGAACTGGGATGCCTCCCAGAAGACATCCTACGCAGACAGCCAACCACCAGGTGAATAATGGATGCTCAATTTATAGTCTAAATTATGAAAACAAATTTGACTACGTTTTTAAATGCTCGCAATGGTCCGCGCGAAAAAAAAAGCAAATCAGAACTAAAATTTTTCCTTCTTTAAAGCCTATTCACGACTACCGAATTCGTGTGTTCGTGTGTGCCAGTGATTCATGCTCGTGTTTTAATGGTCCCCACCCATCCCAATCCTCTCTCCACCAAACATACCCGTGTTCAAAAGAATAGCCAGCTATTCACACGACCACCTGTTTTTACATCGCTGAAACCAACTCATTGACATGAACTGGGGATCTCTTTCAACGCCTTCTTTCTTCACGGCCTAGTGTGCATAGTGTTAATAATCTCAAAAAATGCTCATCCTTTCCCCACATGAATAAGTGGAGTACTTTTTTATTTTGGGGGATAGGGAGCATGGCTACGGAGACTGCAAAATTTCCCTGCTTTCCTTTTTTCTTCTGTCCCGACTTTCGCACTGAAAACTTTTTCAAAAAGGGCCTGGGAAAAAAGCAACCCATCGTTCAGTCGGTTGGTCGCTAGGCTGCCATTAGCAACCGCGTTTCTGATGTGTGGTTAGACTATTGAGTATTTACCAGCTTTCATTAAACATGCTCTTTTTAACGACCTTAAATGTTGATTAACTTTGGTAAATGGCACATTTGAAATAATCCTTTTAGGAGAAGAATTGATTTGCACGGCATGAAAGCTACAGAAAGACGGTACACATTTCTCTCATTGGTCAAAATGCACGATTGAGTTTCTCTCTTGAAGATGATTGGGTAGATGAGAGTGGAATTCTGCTTTCCTATTGAGTGAGTTACTTTAACGCTATTGGCCGATTCGCAAGATTAGTTGACGTTAGCCGGTAACGTTTTTTTTTTTTTGGAACTAATTTTTTTCTGCATCAAAATTCATAGATAAGAAATACAATTTTTTATCAGGCACATATTGAATTTCACTCTGACCGTGTGACCTCTACTTGTGCCTATCCTGTGCTTTATTACTTACTCCTCTCCCCTAAACTTATCGGTAAGGCATATGGCGACCTCGGGGAGGCTTGGAGGAGGATACTTTGGTAACACTGATGGTAGAGTTTAACCATGTGATAAAAACCTTTGAACTGCCTCTAGGATGATCTAAATGACTGATCTTCCTTCTTGAAACTGGATAACTAGAAGGAGGCCCCATTATCGTCGAGGTCAATTGATGAAATTTGCTCCACACGGTACAAATAGTTTCAGTTCATTCATTCCTTTTTTTAAAGCACTTAAATGTCGAAGATCATATCATACGAACTTTGTGAAATCTGGATTGAAGTGCTAAGTAACAGCAAGACTTTGCATCCTAGGAAAGCACTATGATCTATTGGAAACGATGCAGTGAGAACAGGCACTGCTGAGAAAACTAGCTAAACGGACTAAGCAAGGGCCCCAAACCTTCAGATGTGATGACAAATCTCACATCGGGTATCATGAGTATAGCGGCCCGAGACTTCCCATAGGGTGGAAGAAGGCAGTAAGTGAGGCTGGATACATATATTCCGAAGAGAACAGAGCAAGCGGATCTGAGCATGGCCCGAAGGCCAGCCCACGAGTACAAGGGCCAGACAAATCCTAAAGTGACCGCCAAACATCATGTGGTCACGTAAACAAAGTATTACAATGAGTGGTGAGGAAATTTCCTCCTTTTTAGGCGACTTGATCCCAAATTCCACCTTCCTCCCTCCCCGTGTCGTCAGTCCTTATTACATCAGGGTGACTTTTGTGCAGCCCAAATTCCCACCTTCCATTTTTCTCTGCAGGAGGTTGCAGGCAGGGCCTAAGTCTCTTCCAGTTTTATCGTCTGCCCCAGTGTGAATGCAGTGGCGGTGACCTCTACGAATTTTCCATAAAAATGTCAAAGTTTTTTACTATCCTTCTTGGGTCCAACTAAAGCTACCCTGTCAATCACAAAGCTAAAGGGAAACATCACCGCTTTCCAAAGGTCACTAAGCTTGCATTGTTCCCACTGGAGGAGGATGTTATACGGTCGAGGTAACTTATTCTTTTAGTCGATATTTGGTGGAAGGCTGAATTCCGGACAGAGTTGACACTTGACAGCACGGTACTACATTAGCGCAGAACACACGTCATCCGTAACCGCGCCGTTAAGTACGCAAACGTCAAGGTGGAAAGAGAGAGAGTGAGGGAGTGGAAGAGGGGTTGTGACTTTTACGACACAGCTATTAGACTGTCACACATATAGTTACTTGTGCATCCCCCTTCTCCTCCTCACTCCCCCTTCTCCCCTACCCCTCCCTTCCCTGCTTTGCCTTGCTTCTCTGAGTCAGCCATGGATACACTTTGTCTCTAGTCTGACTCCAGTCTGTCTCTCTGTTGCCTGATAATTAGCTGCTTTTGTGGCCAAAAGGAAAGTGATTTGAAAATAGTTAAAGTAGATAGTAAAGTAATTTTAATAAAAATCAACACACTTTAAAGTGCTGTCAATCCAAGTTAACTTTAAACCGACTCAACACCATTTGCAAAATAAGTAACTTTTAAATAGTGTTGAAGACAAAATGGCCAGTTTTGACCCCTGAGTGACTAATCGACAGACAGATTGTTCGAGTGATTAATTTACCAACAAATATGCCAGCCACTAGCATGACTCTACGTTGACCCCACCAATGGAATGAACCATTCTCACGATGAAAAATACCAATGACTTGATTGAAGTAAAGACCGAAAGTAAATGGCAAAATAAATGTCAGTCAATACTAGTAGGTGATTGGTTGGAAATGCT